TTGGTGTCGGCTCAGTTTTGGAAAAACTTCACCGAGGTGGAGAATTGTGAACCGGACCTGATAAGGCCCAGGCCCACGAATAACATGCAGGGGAATTGTTTGTTCGGATTTTGAGTCGGTTTCAAACTCTCACGCGTTTTCTCTCTGTTACCTATATAAACAATTGTTTATTAGGTTTTCTTTTGTGCAAAAGGAGGTGCGAAGGAGTTTGATGCAAAGTTTTGCGGCTGCAGACAAAATCAATTGCGTCTGCGGAGGAAAAGAAAAAGCAGAAGCTTGAGGAGTTTTCAGCAGCCGTCAAGAGGGTTCTGAGCATCTTTTGTAGGGAGAGTTTTGTGTGAGGGTTTTATTTGTGAGATTCTTGTGTAAACCCTATTTGTATTCTCTCCCTCTATTAGTAGATCTCCCCCCTCCTTGCCCCGTGGACGTAGGCAATTTGCCGAACCACGTTAAAATTGGTTGTACTGCTTTTGTGTGATTTGTAATAGCTTTTAGGGTCCCTCGACGCGCAGTCCTAGAGCTGACGAGAGGAAGAGCTAATATCCTACTTTGATAGGATATAGGCTTCAGATTCTTGTTCCCTTTGAGAAACAAGAATTCTTATTGCGACCTGACTCTCTTGTTGTGCTGCCGAAGTGCTGCCGAAATTTCCGCTGCGCGCAACAAGTGGTATCAGAGCCCAGATTTCAGATCTAGGGTTTTTTGGTGGAGGAAGATTCTTGTGTGAAGCTTAGTTCTTGGAGTTCTCGGCTTCGGTGGAGATAGCATTAGGAGTTGCCGTTGGAGATTTCGCTTTCCTCGTGTGGATAGGAGATCTATTTGGAATCCGATCTAGGGTTCAGTTGGGTGGTTCCTAATTCTATCAAATTTGTTCTTTCTCTACAATTTGGAGTTAGTTCGCAATGGGAGAAGAAGGTGAAAGCAGCAAATCGATGGCGGGTACAATACAAGTTGGTTTTCAAAACACCAAAATTAGTGTGGTGAAATATGACGGAAAAATCAACTTTGGTTTGTGGATGAGCGACGTACAGGATGCGTTAAATGCTCAGAATTTGGAAGAGACCATCATGGTCCACGAGAGGCCACCTAAATATGAAGAGGCGGTATGGGAGAAAATGAATAGGAACGCTTGTGGGGTGATCAGGTCCTGTTTGGAACAGGAGCTGAAGTATGATGTGATTGGGGTGACGTCTGCGATGAAGATGTGGGAAATTCTCAACAATAAGTACCTTACGAAGAGTGTTGAGAACCGATTGCACTTGCTGCGTAGGTTATTCAGATTCCAGATGTCCAGAGGCACCTCGCTTGCGGCTCATGTGAACAACTATACTAAGTTGTTGTCAGACTTGGCGAATGTTGATGAGAAGATATCGGATGAGTACAAGGCGATTATTTTGTTGGGCTCCTTACCGGATGAGGAGTATGATACCTTCGTGCTCACTTTGTTGAACGGGAGATCTTCTATCAGCTATAGTGAAGTGACTAACGCTTTGACGAACTACGATTTGAGGAGGAAGGATAAGGAGACTTCCCGCGCTAGTACTTCAGGAGAGGCCTTGTCGACAAGAGGTAGAAGCCCATATCCGAAAGGTGGTAACAGAGGGAGGTCAAAGTCTAGAGGCCGTCACCAATTAACAAAGAACCAATGTGCATTCTGCAAGGAGCAGGGACATTGGAAGAGAGACTGCCCGAAGCTCAAGGAGAAGGAGAATGGCAAGAAAAAGGGCCCGAAGGCCAATGAGGTGAACATTGCGAAAGGCGATGATTCCGATGATTCGTGCTTTTCTCTACTGATTACTCCAGAAGTGAACCATGTGGATGTATCAGATTGGATGCTTGATTCCGGCGCTACCTTTCATGTGACCCCTAGGCGAGACTGGTTTGCATCTTTTGAGAAAGTCGACGGGGGCGTTGTTGTCATGGGAAATGATCAATCCTGTGGCGTTTGTGGGATAGGTACCGTACGGATTAGGATGCACGATGGAGTAGTCCGTGAGTTGAAGGAGGTGAGATTTGTTCCTCAACTGAAGAAAAATCTTATCTCAGTTGGAGCTTTGGAGGCGAAGGGATTCAAGGTGACTTTCGAAAACGCTGTAGCGAAGGTTACTAAGGGATCATTGGTGGTGATGAGGGGAGTCCGCAATCGGAATTTGTATTATCTGAAGGGAAGCACCGAGATTGGCCAGGTTGCTTCGGCTATTTCAGAAGCGGACATGAGCAGACTTTGGCACTATAGGTTGGGGCACACAGGTGAAAAGTCACTGCAGGCATTGTGCAAGCAGGGGCTATTGAAGGGAGCCAAGAGTGGGAAGATTGAGTTCTGTGAGCACTGTGTTCTTGGCAAGAAGACGAAGGTGAAGTTCGGGACTACCATTCATCAGACGAGGGCACACAGATGTTTGGGGTCCCACCAAGACTGCATCACTTGGTGGTCGACATTGGTTCGTCACTTTTGTAGATGACTATTCTAGGCGTTGTTGGGTGTACACCATGACGAAGAAGAGTGAAGTCCTAGATTTGTTTGTGGAGTGGAAGAAGAGATTGGAACTGCAGACTGGGAGAAAGATCAAGACGTTGCGATCCGACAACGGTGGTGAGTATACTTCTGACCCCTTTCAGCAGCTATGTCGAGACGAGGGCATAGAGAGACACTTCACAGTTAGTCATACACCGCAGCAAAATGGGGTGGCAGAGAGGTTG